GGCTTTAAAGAATTGTGCCAGTAGGTACTGGGCTTTGGGGTGCCTGCCGTTACAGGGCTTTAGGGGTGCCTACCGTTACAGGGCTTTTAAAGAATCATGCCAGCCGGTGCTAGGCTTTGGGGTGCCTGCCATAACAGGGCTTTAAAGAATTGTGCCAGCCGGTACTGGGCTTTTGGATTGCCTGCTGTGACAAGGCTTTGGGGTGCCTGTCGTTACAGGGCTTTAAACAATCATGCTAGCCGGTACTGGGCTTTGGGGTGCCTACCGTTACAGGGCTTTTAAAGAATCGTGCCAGTCGGTACTAGGCTTTGGGGTGCCTGCCATAACAGGGCTTTAAAGAATTGTGCCAGTAGGTACTGGGCTTTGGGGTGCCTGCCGTTACAGGGCTTTAGGGGTGCCTACCGTTACAGGGCTTTTAAAGAATCATGCCAGCCGGTGCTAGGCTTTGGGGTGCCTGCCATAACAGGGCTTTAAAGAATTGTGCCAGCCGGTACTGGGCTTTTGGATTGCCTGCTGTGACAAGGCTTTGGGGTGCCTGTCGTTACAGGGCTTTAAACAATCATGCTAGCCGGTACTGGGCTTTGGGGTGCCTACCGTTACAGGGCTTTTAAAGAATCGTGCCAGTCGGTACTAGGCTTTGGGGTGCCTGCCATAACAGGGCTTTAAAGAATTGTGCCAGTCGGTATTGGGCTTTTGGGTTGCCTACCGTGACAGGGCTTTGGGGTGCCTGCCATTACAGGACTTTAAAGAATCGTGCCAACTGGTACTGAGCTTTAGGATGCCTATCATTACAGGGCTTAAAAGAATCGTGCCAGCCAGTATTGGGCTTTGGGGTTCCTGTCGTAACAAGGCTTTGGGGTGCCTGCTGTTACAGGGCTTTAAAGAATCATGTCAGCCAGTACTAAGCTTTGGGGTGCCTGCCGTTACAGGGCTTTAAGGTTGCCTGCCGTTATAAGGCTTTTAAAGAATTGTGCCAGCCGGTACTAGGCTTTAGGGATGTGAGAATATGTTGTATCTCACATGGAAAATATGAGAAATTCAAAGGTAAGGTTTGTTATTTCTTCTCTTACTTCCTCAAGTTTTTTTTTTTTAATTTTTCTTTGCCCCAATCCAAATGAGGCATATTTCTATGACAAGGAATGCAATGTTGTAATGCGCCATGTATGATTTTTTCATAGGTGCTAAAAATATGTATAATACACCATGGACGGATGATTTGCAATGTAAAAAGGTTGGAACCTTTGTTTGTCTCAATTTAAGAGACTTTTTTTTTTGCAATAAATGAAAAAGGTAAGACATGTTTATTTGTCCCAATGCAAATGCATGGATAGTAAAAATGCATTGCAAAAAAAAAATTATTGGAAGGCCTGATGTTGACAACTATCTTAATATATAGTCGTTTTTGAAAATTTTCGTGTATATTAAATAAACCATTTTGAATAAAAGGTTATGCCTCCAAGTCTATTATTTAACCTTTATTCATTAATAGGTATAGTATCACAGTATGCCGTTACTCCTCTTTAGAAAATTCAAACGACCAAATTCTCGTCACTTGATCTTTCTTTCAAGTTAATGAGATCAATTATTATGACTGAATATTGATAGCACACATGCTCTCATTATCATTTTACACCTATGCGATGATCTTGATACCTCAAGAGCAAAAAGCAAGAATAAAGATACCAACATTCTACGTCAAGCAAATGTATCAATAAATATTGTTCCTTAAATGTGAACCTGTTGTAATATATAAGATATGAATTCAAATATGATAACACGAAAAGAGAAGAGAGATGGTCTCAAAGGAGCAAGAGTAGAAAAATTCATTCTCTGATGCCAAAATTCATAGAGAAATAGGAATATCTTGGTTTATGAGTACAAATGGCCAAAGCGCAAATGGGATATATGGATTCACTTAATCACATCTCTCTCCTTTAGCTTTTCAAAACCCCAACAAGTGCTTCACTGAGCTGCCATTGATATGCATAATATGAGAGATGATGGAGTCAACTTTCCCAAACATAGATACTTAACTTCTGATGCCTTCCTTTTCTTCTCCTAAGACATCCTTTTGTCTTGGTGAACTCTTCTTCTTCTTATCATTACTTTGCTTGTTCTTTGCTCTAACTTTTGCTTAGGTTGCCTTTACAGGTTTTCAACCCAACGAGCTATTCTTTCCTTTTCATTTTCTATTGGCTCTAACTTTTGCTTAGGTTGCCTTTACAGGTTTTCAACCTAACGAGCGCTTCATTCTTTTTCATTTTCTATTTAAGCAAAGTAACGCTTGATAGTATCCACATTAATGGGCTTTGCTAACTCTCGACTATCCATGTCAGCTAGGATCAGTGCTCCTCCGGAAAAGGCATGTTTGACAACATAAGGTCCCTCATAGGTCGGAGCCCATTTGCCTCTATTATCTTCTTGGTTAGGCAATATTTTCTTGTGTACAAGATCACCAGCACTGAATTCCCGTGGGTGAAGTTTTTTATTAAAAGCTCTTGCCATTCTCTTTTGGTACAATTGTCTATGACATATTGCAGTGAGCCTTTTCTCTTCAATCATGTTATATTGCTCAAATCGGGTTCATACCCATTCATTTTCTTCTAAATCTACCTCTGCCAATACTCTTAAGGATGGTATTTCCATCTCAATGGGTGTGACAGCTTCCATTCCATAAACAAGGGAGTATGAGGTTCCCCTATGGATGTGCGTATAGTAGTACGATAACCATGTAAAGCATAGGGAAGCATCTCATGCCAATCCTTATAAGTTACTGTCATTTTTCCAATGATCTTCTTAATATTTTTATTGGCTACTTCAACTGCTCCATTCATTTGAGATCTATATGGGGCTGAATTATGATGCTTGATTTGGAATTTCTCACAAAAGTTTCTGACTTCTGTTCCATTGAGATTGGGACCATTATCAGTAATGATCCTTTCAGGAATCCCATATCGGCATAAAATATTTGTCTTCATGAATTTAAGGAACGTCTTTTGCGTGATGCTAGCAAATGAATTTGCTTCTACCCATTTTGTGAAATAGTCAATCGCGACAGGGATGAAGCGATGTCCATTCAAAGCTTTTGGGTTAATTGGACCAATAACATCAATTCCCCACATTGAGAATGGCCAGGGTGATACTGTAACATCCCAATTTAAATTTTAATAGTTAATTTTTGGTAAATAGAAATTTTTAAAAAAATATTTAGAGGTAAGCAAATTAGTAGGAGATGATTATTAAATCTAACTTAGGATATAATTCTAAATTAAAAATAATAATAATAATAATAAAATATATTATTATTAAAATATTATTATTATTATAATAAAAAAAAGGTATGAGAAAGAAGGAAAGAAAGAAGAGAACAAAATGGCTTTCGGTGCTCTTCCCCGGTGCAATGATTATATTTATATAATAATAATAATAAAAAAGAAGAGAGAGGAAATAATTTAAAAAAATGTGGGACCCACAGTATTTTTTTTAAAAACCCATCCCTTCTTCTTCGTTTCTTCATTTCTCCTTCCTTTTTCATTTCTCTTCGTGCGCGAATAGAGGGGGCGACGGTGCGCAATTTCGCCGGTGCTGGGTTTTAAGGTAAGAGTTTTTAATAGGATATTTAGGGTGTAATTTTAAGCTTTTCAAGACTAAATAAGTATTCTAAAAATTTTTCTTAGTCATCCTTCTTCTTTAGTTTCTGAGTTTGTAGTGGTAGAAAATTTAAGATCTGGAAGAGGGATGAATTTATGTTAAATAAATATGGTTTTTGAGGTTGTCAGTAGTATAATAAATGTTCTAGGGTATAAATTTGTTGATGATCTTTGAATTTGTGGCTTATGAATCAAATTCTAAACTAGATCTGAAAATATATGTTGATTTATTGAGGTTCAGATGATTATTTGGGATGAGAAATGAATTATTATGGTTATAGGATTATGATTCTAAGCTAGAGACTCAATTTTTAATTTTTGGGTATTTTATGTACGAATTTATGAAATAAAAAGAAAATTTTGATAATAGAAATTAGTTTATAAGCTAATTTTTTAGATTATTAATGTTTATTGATAATTAAAAGAGGAGTTAAAAATTTTACTTAATAGTATTAACTCTAAATTTGTATTGAGATTGAGATTAGAAATTATGTTATATTTTTAATTCTATTATTAGAATTATTTTATTAGTTTCAAAAATTGAAACTAATATTTATAAATAATATATTAATTGTAGATTGTATTATAAACTGTTTGTATACACTATCATAAATTGGCTTTGGTTACTGGGACTTTTGAGTCTCATTATGTGGTTAACAATTTTCAGGAGAAAAGCCACGAGTGACACGTGGAGGAGTCCTAGAGACTTAGTGGTATAGATCCACTGTCTCTTTTGGGCATTTAATTTATGATTTATAATGTGTTATATTGCCAATATTAGGGCTTTTTGTTTATTGTCAATTATATGAATATATAAATGTAATCATGCCTTTCAAACTATTTCTATTTTTGGTATAATTTGGATGACTGTAATTTTAATATTTGGTTTACTTTGGATTGATTAAATTGGCATGATTATAAGGCCAAATAACTGGCTTGTGTTGAAAATTGACTAAATTGCTTATTTTACTTGTTGGGAGTATAAAGATGGATAAATGTGATTTAGTTTACTTGTTGGGAGTATAAGGATGGACAAATGTGATTTAGCCAAATGGTATGTGGGAGGTAAAAAAATTTATCTGAAATGTTATAGTGTGTGAGTTGAAGCCAATTATAAAATATTTTATATTGAAATTATTGATATAAAAATGTGTTGGGTGGTTGTAACCCAACTATGGTTGAGTTAAATTATTTAAAAAAAAAATTTTGGTGTGTTACAGATACCAAATTATGTAATGGGATTGGAGGAGCATTTATCCTATCAGTATAGATCTGACAATTGTGGCATTTCTTGACATGCTCAAAGCAATCTTTCTCTATTGTTAACCAGAAGTAACCACAACTTTGAATCTATTTGGCCATAGTGTGACCATTCGCATGTGTGCCACATATGCCCTCGTGTACCTCAACCATGATTTTCTTTGCTTCTTCTAAACTCACAAAGCGAAGTAAGGTAACATCATAACCCCTCTTGTACAGAACATCTTTACTGATAAAGAATGTCATAGCCAAACGACGAAGGGTTTTCTTTTCATTCTCAATCATTCCAATTGGGTATGATCTCTTAGTGATATAGTCCTTAATATCCAAGAACCAAGGATATTCTTCTTGATCTTCTTCAACATTCAGACAATATGCTGGAAAGCTTCTAGCTTCTACTTGAATGGGTTGGACATGGATTCCACAATCAAGTTGGATCATTACTGCTAAAGTGGCTAAAGCATCAGCGAAATGATTTTTATCTTGAGTCAAGTGATGAAAGCTAATAACCTCAAATTGCTTAATCAAATTTGTTAAGAGTTCTTGATAGGGAATCAATTTTACATCCTTTGTCCTCCATTCTCCTGTTACTTGGTGAATAATGAGAGTTGAATCACCAAATAACTTCAAACACTGTATACCAAGGGTAATAGCTGCTCGAAGACCATTAACACAAGCTTCATATTCTGCTATATTGTTAGTACAATCAAATTCTAATTTGATGGCCACTGGAAATTGTTTTCCTTCTGGTGAAATTATCACCGCTCTTACCCTATTTCTATGCATGTTGGCGGCTCCATCAAAATACATTTTCCATTCTTGCTCTTCATCATTTCCTTCATCACAACCTTCTTCTATAATGCATATGCTTTTATTAGGAAATTGAAAATCTAATGGCTGGTCATCCTTTAAAGGATTATCGGCCAAGTGATCTGCTATTGCACTACCTTTGACTAACTTTTGCACCACATGCTTTATATCATATTCAGATAGCACAACTTTGCCATTTTAGTACTCTACCTGTAATGTGCGGGCTCTCAAAGATGTACTTAAGTGGGTCTACTCGTGAGATTAGCCAGGTAGTGTAGTAAAGCATGTATTGCCTTAGCCTTCTGGTTGCCCATACTAGTCCACAACAAGTTCGTTCAATCATTGGATAACGAGCTTCACAATCGTTAAACTTTTTGCTCAAGAAATAAATTGCTCTTTCCTTCTTTCCAGAATCATCATGTTGACCTAGCATTGCTCCCATTGAGCAAGGTAAAGTTGCCAAGTATAGGATTAGTGGACGATATGGTGATGGAGGGACCAAAATTGGGGGATTTAACAAATAATCTTTAATTTTATCAAAGGCCTTTTGACAATTATCATCCCATATCTCCCTACAATTTTTCTTCAATAGCTTAAACATCGATTCATAAGTAGCTGTTAGATTGGCAATGAATCTAGCAATGTAATTCAATCGTCCCAAGAAACTTCTAACTTCTTTCTCTGTTTGGGGAGATGGCATTTCTTGAATTGCCCTCACTTTATCTGGATCTACTTCTATCCCTTTACGACTCATAATGAATCCTAATAACTTCCCAGAAAGAGCTCTAAAGATGCATTTGTTAGGATTTAATCTTAGCCGATATTCGCGCAATCTTACAAATAGCTTTCTAAGGACTTCAAGATGACTCTCATTCTCTGCTGATTCAGCTACCATATCATCTACATACACTTCAATTTCTTTATGCATCATGTCATGAAATAGTGCTACCATAGCTCGTTGATAAGTTGCCCCAGCATTTTTTAAACCAAAAGGCATCACCTGGTGTTAATCTTTAGAAATTCATGTTATTTCATCACATTTTCCTTAGATTCTAGTCCATTTTGATTTAATTGTATATGTTTTTATTGCCCAATTTAGGAAAATGTGCATTTTGTTTTGGGCCTGTGTTCTTGGCTTTAATTTGATATTTTTAGCCTAATTTCATGTTATTTTGATTAGAAGCATTTCTGAAGCTTTGTGGATGTTTTTGGAAGGCTTTTGGATGAAGAAATCAAGAACTAAATGAATGATTTTTGTTAGCTGTAAAAACAGTGCAAAACTGCCAAAGTCATGACTTTTGTTCGCGACTTTCACCGCTATCAAAAAAATGTTGCATTTCATTTATAAGAAATTAGTTGGCTAGGATACATATAAGCTGAGAGCTCGACCCAGAACTGATTCTTCAGACTTTTAGACACTTTTGGAGCTTGGTTCTGCTAGGGTTTGGGCATTGGAAGAGTTGGGATCAAGAGATTGAAGCTTTGAAGACATTTGGAGCTCATTTTCTTTGGTTTTTCTATTCCTTTTCCCATTCCTCTCTTGTAATCTAAAATGGGTCCACTTATTTTGTATATTTATAGCTTGTGGATGATTATGAGTAGCAAAACCCTTTGTTCTAGGATTATTTGGAAGCCTTGTATGGATTAACACTATATTTCTCCTCTCTTTTTGTGATTAATGATATATATGTGTTTATTTTACTCTTTCCTTAATGCTTCTACTTGATTGGCCACCATTTAGATGTTGAGTTCACTTAATTGATACTTGAGAGAGCTAGGTTGAGTGTAAAACTTGGGTAAAATTGTGTAAGAACTTGATATTCACATGTTGAATGGATGGTTTTGCTAGTAAGATAGATATATACTTGCTAGCCTTACATAGCCACATTAGGGTTGGTGTTTAAAATTGAGTTTTATTAATTGTAACAAGAGATTGGGCAATTAATTTAACTAAACACTTGTTCATGACTTAAGAAAGCTTGTCTAAGTATTTTTAGAACCCTAGGTTAGCACTTATTTTCATTAAAAAAATTTATGTGAGGAGGTAATTTTTGCGTTATGAAATACAAGGGGGATAAATAATCCTAGGTCCTAAATTGTGTTGGAAGTTTGTGAATCACTCATTTTTCTTTATTTTCTAGTGTTAGTTTCATTTGCAAAATCATTTCACCTAACTATGTGTAGCTTAACTTGATCAAATTTGCTTAGTCTTTTGCTTGATTATAGTTTTCTAAACAAATCCTCAAGGGAACGATACTCTACTCATTTTATATTACTTGCTACGACCCGTGCACTTGCGGTGAGCAACAAGTTTTTGGCACTGTTGCCGAGGATTTGCTTTTGAAAATATTTTGATCAACCTTAGACTAGTAATATTAGATTTCGCTTGAGCTTTGTAGATATTAGTTTTAGGTTTTTATTTTGTCTTTGTTCAGTGCTTTTGTTTTAGTTTAATACTTCTTGGGTTGTTTCTTCTTCAGGTACCCATTTGGCATATGCAAGTCATAGGCCCAGAAGGATTGGAAGTGATACTTGAAGGATTGACAATCTTTGAAGAAATCAAGTCTCCTAATTCTGAAAGAACTCCTGAAATTCAATCGAGAAACATGGCAGAAGACCAGTATGACACCGCCTTAGTCAATGACTTTACTAACCAGAATCTAAAGGGTACTTAATCTTGTATTCGAATGCTAAAGTTTCAAGCACATACTTTTGAGATCAAACCTGCCATGATCACAATGCTTCAAATGAATAGTATATTTCATGGTCTTTTCAATGAAGATGCTAACAAGCACTTGATGTCTTTTGTGGAAGTATGTGATTCTTTCAGACAAAACGAGGTGCCTAAAGATGTTTTGTGCTTGCGGTTATTTCCAATTTCTCTATAAGACAAGGCTAAAGAATGGTTCAACAATCTTCTCGAAGGTTTTATTAGTTTATAGGAGGATCTTGAGAACAAGTTTAGAGCCCAATTCTTCTCTGATGATAAAACGGTGAAAGCAAGAGATGAATTTCTTAGCTTTAAGTAATATCCAGAGGAACATCTCTATGCAGTTTGGGAGAGATACAAGATGTTGATCAAGAAATGCCCTAATCATGGGGTGGACAAATGGGTAGTGATTTAGATCTTCTGTAATCGTCTGAATCCATCTTCAAAGGCCATGGTTGATTCTATCACAAATGGGGGATATCAGAATGTGCCTGTCAATGAAGTTTTTCGCCTCTTAGACCAATTGTCTGCAAACAACACTCAAAACATGGATAGAAGGAATACATCAATGGTGATTAGTGCTAAAGATGATTCCTCTTCCTAGATTGTATCTATCTTAAATGCAATGAACAAGCGTTTTGATGTGTTGGAATCTCAAATGCAAAGGGGAAATTCTCATAATGTGCATGTTGTCCAAGCCATTCCAACTGTGTGCAATCAATGCAATGATATGCACATGCTCGATTAATGTCCTCTTTATATGACCACTGAGTCTGTCAACTATATGGGCAAGTTTCAAAACCCTCATAACAACCCTTACTCTTAAACCTATGACTCAGGATGGAGGAATCATCCTAATTTTTCATGGAGTCAAGGGAATTCTTCAAATCAACCTTCATCTTCTAATGTTAAGCCAATTCACCCTTTGGGTTTTCAAGCTCCACCAAAACCAACGCCGATTAAAGAAGAGGAGTCTAGAATGGAAAAGATATTAGCATAAATCTTGAGCAATCAAGAGTCTGCAAGAGTTGAAACTAAGGCAACTCTTACTCTTCATGATACCGCAATCAAGAATCTCGAAGTACAAATGGGGCAATTGGCTTCACAAATGAATGCTATGTCAAGAAGTAATCTCCCTAGTGACACCATTCCAAATCCTAAAAGGGATGGTAAGGAGGTGTGTAAAGCAATCACTTTGAGAAGTGGGATGCAATTACCCTAAGTTCTCATGCCAAGTGCAAGTGGTATGAGTAGTGGTGCTACTAAGGTGATTGTTGATAATGAAGTGATTAATGAAGAAGTTGTGGTTTAAGAGTGTGACAACTCAAAGAATAATCAAGAAGAGAAAAAGAATGAAGATCAAGCTAAAAAGGTTAGTGATGAGAAAAAGCAACTAGAGGCCAAGCCAAAATATGTGCCTCCATCACCTTTTCCTCAAAGGCTTAAGAAGCAACAAGAAGATGGCCAATTCAAAAAGTTTCTTGATATGTTCAAGCAATTGCATATCAACATTCCTTTTGTGGAAGCTTTGGAGCAAATGCCCAAATATGCTAAGTTCATGAAAGATGTGCTCTCTAAAAAGAGACGGTTTAATGAGTTTGAGAAGGTTGCTCTAACCAAGACTTGTATGGATATCATTAAGCAACTACCTTAAAAGTTGAAGGATCCTGGTAGCTTCTCAATTCCGTGTTATATTGGGAATAAATTTTTGGGTAAGGCATTATGTGATCTTGGAGCTAGTATCAATCTTATGCCTCTCTCTATTTTCAATAAATTGGAGTTGGGTGAAGCTAGACCAACAATCGTGACTTTGCAATTAGCGGATAGAAGCTTGGCTTATCCATGTGGTGTTATTGAAGATGTTCTTGTAAAAGTGGATAAATTCATTTTTTTGGTTGATTTCATTGTCCTTTATTGTGAGGTGGATCGTGATATTCCTATTATCTTAGGAAGACCATTTCTGGCAACCACTAGAACCTTGATTGATGTTGAAAAAGGTGAGCTTACTATGAGGGTGGATGATGAGCAAGTCACTTTTAACATGCACAAGTTGATGAAATCTCCCAATGATCTTGAGCAATGCTTCTTTGTTGATATGCTTGATCAAGTTACACAAGAAGAATTCAATGAGGCAATTCCTAATGATTTTTTAGAAGCCTTGTTGCTAGGAGCTCAATTAAAGACTCAAGATGGAGAAGAGTGTATGGCTATCATGAATGCATCATCGGTTTATCCTAGAAACTGTGTCCAATTTGAATCTCTAGATTTATCTTCTCTTGGTAGACCATCTTTGAAATCCTCTATTGAAGAGCCACTATCTCTTAAGTTGAAGACATTACCTTCTCATCTTGGGTATGTCTATTTAGAAGCCAACAACACTTTACTTGTGATTATTGCTGCGGACTTGAATGAACAACAAGAAGAGCAACTTGTGGAAGTCTTGAAAGCTCACAAGAGAACTATTGGGTGGACTATTGCCAACATAAAGGTTATTAACCCTTCAATTTGCATGCATAAGATTTTTCTTGAAGATAATCATAAAACTTCTGTGGAACATCAAAGAAGGTTGAATCCTATTATAAAGGAAGTTGTGAAAAAGGAGATCTAAAATGGCTTGAGGCGGGCATTGTCTATCTTATTTCTGACAGCTCTTGGGTGAGCCCAGTTCAATGCGTTCCAAAAAAGGGAGGCATGACTGTAGTGGCTAACACCCACAATGAGCTAATTCCTACTCGCACTATCACTGGGTGGAGAGTATGCATGGATTACCAGAAGCTAAATGCGGCTACTAGGAAAGATCACTTTCCTCTTCCCTTTATTGACCAAATGCTTGATAAATTAGTTGGAAGGGAATTATTTTGCTTCCTTGATGGATATTCAGGCTATAACCAAATTGCCATAGCTTTAGAGGATCAAGAAAAAATGACATTTACTTGTCCTTATGGAACTTTTGGTTTCAAGCGCATGCCTTTTGGGTTATGCAATGTATCGACCACTTTTCAGAGGTGTATGATGGCAATTTTCTCTGATATGATTGAGCAAACTATGGAAGTCTTCATGGATGACTTCACAGTTTTTAGGGATTTATATGAGGAGTGTTTGATCAACTTGGCCAATGTGTTGAAGAGATGTGAAGAGACCAACTTGGTCTTGAATTGGAAAAAATGCCACTTCATAGTTAAAGAGGGTATAGTTCTTGGCCATAGAGTCTCCAAAAATGGCTTGGAGGTAGATAGAGCCAA